CACACACACACACACACACACACACACACACACACACACACACAAACTACACCCACACCCACACACAAACACTGAGCAGGGGACTGAATCTCACACACACGTCGAGCTGGGGACAAAGAAGCTGGGGACTACAAGGACACAGAATGTAAATGAGACCTGGAGGACCTGGGGATGAATGAGATAACACAAGACCTGGGAGGAATAGACTTAAAGGACTACCAACATAAGACACATAATGGACAAAGACAAAGGACAAATGAGGGCGCTATCAGACACAAAAGGTGGAATCTAAAGAGGGATGGAGGACATAAGGAGACACATGGGGAAGACACAGACGCAGACCATGACACAATCATACATTCAGTTTTACAGTTCTTGAGTTGATTTGACAAATCATGCATGTAGAGGTTGAACAGAGCCCCCCCGAGCACCCCATTATTAACACCAAAGGAGGCTGATATGGTATTGCCCCATTTAACTTGCATTTCCTGATTAGAATACCAGTATACCTGAATTCTTACAATGCTATCTTTCACTTAATTTACAAAAAAACTTAGTGGTTGACCCGATCAAACGCCTTAGATGCACCAATAAACCCCATCATCCCTGAGGAGTTCTGTCTTAAATTAAACTGAGCTGCCTCCTTCAGGCCATAGATACAAAGATCTGTTCCCAGCTTGGATGTAAAACCAAACTGGTTGTGTGTTGTTGTGTGACACAGTCGATCAAGCAATATCTTTTCTAAACCCTTAGAAATAACACTAGATAAGGCTTGTAGTTATCCAGTCTTTCAAGTTCCGCTTTGTTTTTATGACGGGCACTAAAGTAACAGACAATAAAGAATCAGGCAGCAGACAATGGGCCCAGGGAAGCACAGGGCAAGGAGTACAGCAGTCCTTGGTCGTGCAAACTACAGATGTTCTGCTGAGATGTTATCTAAGCCTGTTGTCTTGTTAGACAAGTGTGCTATTGCTTGTGACACTGCACAACGAGTGATAACCACAGCATCCATGCTAGTGATATTTCCCACCTCATAGAGTCACTTTTAACACAGGTAAACAAGTCAGAGTAATGTCTCCATGGATCAGCTACATTATCAACCCCAGAGATCCCTTCTATGGCACTGGGCAGTACTTTATTAGACCTGTTCAAAGCCCTCACCTCATTCCAGAAGCCCATAGCATTATTGGATAAAAGCTTTTCAGCCATAGAGGCTGCTCTCAAGTTCTATTTATATTTTGCAATGTAGAGAATGGCATTCATACCTTGCTCTGGTGAGCTTCTTATACTCCGGGACAGACCCTGCTCTGGGCCTCTCTGCTTGCACGTTTGCCTGATGTGCTTGCTTTGCTTCTGCCTGATGTGCTGCCACATGCTTGTTCCATCCCGGCTTGACGTTTTTAGCCTTCACACACGTAAGGTATGACCTGCTGTCATAAAAATCAGCAACAATGTTTTCATACATTACACAAAGGTCCTTTGAGTGAGAGGTTTCATTACAATTGATCCGTGCACATAATTAAATGTATGGGTACATTACTCAACCCTCTGGAGGCAGGCGTTGCAGATTTGCAACAGTTAAAACCTACCTACCGGGTTACTCCACATATGTATTTCATGAGCATTTTTTAACTCAGAAGTATCCCTGAAGGACTTAGTTGTTCATCCATTTATCAAAACTTATTTTGAGCCTGAGAGGGTTAACTCAGTATCTGTTTTCAAGCAATATGCCACAAGATCTTTCTGACAGTCTGGTCCATTGTTTACTTTTTTGACCACCTCAGGAAGACCTCTGATTTTCAGCTGCACGGCAGCTAATTTGCTCGTGGTTATGTTTAAACCCACATGCAACCTTTGAAGTAAAAATACTTCCATAAATGTAAAATCAAGGATGCATAGCATTAAACAAAATCATTCAATCACCTATGTGTACAGTGGGGCAAAAACCTGTAGTTGTGCAGGTTCTCTCACTTAAAAAGATGAGAGACGCCTGTAATTTTCATCCTAGGTGGATCTCATCTATGAGAGAAAAAAAAATTCCAGAAAATCAGAAATCAGAAATTTTTTAAAGAATTTATTACCAAATTATGGTGGAAAATAATTGTTTACTCTCCTACAAACACACAATATTTCTGACTCTCACAGACCTGTAACTTCTGTAAGCGGCTTCTCTGTCCTCCACCCGTTACCTGTATTATTGGCACCCATTGGAACTCGTTATCAGTATAAAAGACACCTGTTCACAACCTCAGTCACACTCCAAACTATGGCTGAGACCAAGGAGCTGTCAAAAGACACCAGAAACAAAATTGTAGATCTGCACCAAGCTAGGAAGACTTAATCTGAAATAGGTAAGCAACTGGATGGGAAGAAATCAACTGTGGGAGCATTTTTTAGAAAGTGGAAGACATACAAGACCACTGATAATCTCCCTTACTCAGGGGCTCCATGCAAGATCTCACCCTGTGGGGTCAAAATGATCACAAGAGCAGTGGGCAAAAATCCCAGAACTACACGGGGGACCTAGTGGATGACCTGTAGAGAGCTGGGACAGAGAGCAGACCCGTCTGAAGTTTGCTAGAGAGCATTTGTAGGATCCAGAAGAGGATTGGGAGACTGGTCAGATGAAACCAAAATAGAACTCGTCGTATTTGGAAGAGAACGAATGCTGAGCTGCATCCAAAGAACACCTTATCTACTTCAAAGCACGGGGGTGGAAACATCATGCTTTGGGGCTGTTTTTCTGCCAAAAGACCAGGGCGACTGATCCATGTAAAGGAAAGAATGAATGGGGCCATGTATTGTCAGAATTTAAGTGAAAACCTCCTTCCATTCATAAGGGTGTTGAAGATGAAACGTGGCTAGGTCTTTGAGCATGACAAAAGTCCCAAACACACCACCCAGGAAACGAAGGAGTGGCTTCGTAAGAAGTATTTCAAGATCCTGGAGTGGCCTAGCCAGTCTCCAGATCTCACCCCGATAGAAAATCATTGGGGGGAGTTGAAAGTCCGTGTTGCCGAGCAACAGCCCCAAAGCATCACTGCTCTAGAGGAGATCTGCATGTGTGTGAAAACCTTGTGAAGATTTACAGAAAACATTTGACCTCTGTCATTGCCAACAAAGGGTATACAACAAAGTATTGAGATGGACTTTAGTTATTGATAAAATACTTGTTTTTCATCATATTTAGTAAAACATTTCTTTAAAAATGAGACAACGTAATTTTCACGATTTTCTCAATATTCAAAAGCTGTTAATCAAATTTTTAGAAGAATTTACATGCAAACGTGTGCATTTTCTTTTCTTTGGGTGCAATTCAAAGGCCAACCACTAGTTGGCAGCAGTGTGCAATGGTTTTGGTTTGCACCCTTGAAATGTAAATGCCTTTATTATGGTTCAGATACCTCACGTTAAACATGTTACGTGTCAGTTTGGACAGCTTTTTGAAATTTCCTACAATAAATTCAGTCTAAAAAATTGCTAACATTGTCTGGCTGAATTTATCGCAATATATTGTGATATGTATCGTCTCCCCTGTATCGTGATACGTATTGTACTGCCAGAATTTCACCAGTACACATCCCTAATGCATATATGTATAAATGTGTGTGTGTGTTATGTCGATCTGTTTATAGGCTTTCAGTTACCTAGTGATATGATTATTGAAGAAAGCACAGCCATTAGGTTTTTCAGTTTATATGATATTACAGGAGCTTTTTGATGGTTTGCCCTTATATCCAATTTATATACCACAGAGTTAAAATAGACAAACGCACACACAGACACACACACACACACACACACACACACACACACACACGTATGTGTGTGTGTGTGTGTGTGTGTGTGTGAGCTCACTCAGGCGCAACATTAGATGCCTTATCAGCCTATTAACTTACAGGGTGACCTACAAGGATGTGCCATCTTTAATAATATCCCATAGAGCCAGATGCTTCCATTGAATCTCCTTAGCAGACATTTATTATGGCCCTGGAAGGGTTTTAGTGGTTGTTCTTCAAAGCAGGTGGGACTTGAATGAGAGACGCTGGTACATAAAGTAGTTTAAATCAGAGTTGTTTAAAAGAAAAAAAAGAAAATCCTTCGAAATTATTCTATTCACAGTTTTTCAAAAAGGCAGTTTATCCCATCAGCCCCATTATAAAATTTAGAGACAAAAGCGTTCTAATCCTGGCTCCACTGCTCAGCCTTTGATGGCCGCGTGTGCATGCAAGTCAATGAGTGTTCACATGCCAGTGTGTCAGACTGCTATGAGAGGGCACAGTAGTGTGTGTGTGTGTGTGTGTGTGTGTGTGTGTGTGTGTGTGTGTGTGTGTGTGTGTGTGTAAGTCAGTGCTGTTTAAAGTTTCATGCTATCCTACGGCAAAAAAAGTGTGTGTGTGTGCCCACGTGCCTATTTTAAATTCCACTGAATAGAAATAATCTCCATGGGCATGTTAGGCTGTTGCTGCATCAAGAAGAGGATACATCAAAGAGAAACAAGTTCCCCTGCACAGCGGCGCAAACAGTGTGTCTCTATGAAGCCCAGACGTCTCTCTGCTGTCAGAATGATTCAAATCAAAGAGGGGAAAAATGCAGATGGAAAGGAAGATTTAGTGGTGGAGAATGTATCAAAAGCAGCAGAGCATGGTACAACTAATCTGTCGCAAAATTAGTAACCAAGAAGTAGCATCAGCTGAAAATGTTGAGCGTGGGAATAAAACTTTGGAAAGATCTGGTCCCAGTCTCTGTTGGTCTCATCTATATCCTGATATTCCCACCCAACCTGATGCTTGGATCTGTCACCACCACTTCAATTTTATCCACATTATTGTATATAATTATACCTGTGTGTGTGTGTGTGTGTGTGTGTGTGTGTGTGTGTGTGTGTGTGTGTGTGTGTGTGTGTGTGTGTGTGTGTGTGTGTGTGTACACTTCTCAGTCTCCATCAAAATACATCATATTATCTCTCTCTCGCTGTCTTTCTCTCTGTGCGTCTGCAGGGAGTTTGGCTGGAGGGATCCAGAGCTGCCAGAGGTAATCCAGATGTTGCAGCATCAGTTTCCATCAGTCCAGTCCAACGCTGCTGCCTACCTTCAGCATCTCTGCTTTGGAGACAACAAGATCAAATCTGAGGTACTGCTAGTTGCAAGGAAACCACTCAGGAGAGAGAACTCTACTTTAGAGAGATAAACATGTTTCATGTTGCCTGCTGGTGGTGATCGGAGGGACCGGTGGCGCCAGTGCTCGGCAGCCTCGCCTCTGTCAGTGCGCCCCAGGGCAGCTGTGGCTACATCGTAGCTCATCCCCACCAGTGTGTGAATGTGTGTGTGAATGGGTGAATGACTGGTTGTGTTGTAAAGCGCCTTGGGGGGGTTCCAGGACTCTAGTAGGCGCTATATCAAATACAGGCCATTTATATGTTGGGATTCTACATCACAACATATTATCCTTTAGCGAGTAGTAACACTCAGGCGTATTTTTTTGGGAACTTAGGAGTAAACAAAAAAGGTTTCACAAGATTTGCAATAAGACGTTATGTTTCCATAATATTTTAATGAATCACCTATTTTTTTACCAGTTGATGTGATTCCTCAAGGCTTTCTGTTATTTTACACTGAAAAACTTCTAAATACAATATCATAGTATTTTTAATTTTGCAACCAAATGCAGAGTACATGTTATTAACCAATGAACATCAAGGTTTTTTGATGAAATTCTCCCATTTAGTGATGGAACTCATTTAATAACCTTAATACATTTTTATTAGTTAGACCTCCTTAAACAATCGTTTTTTTTAATAACTCAAGCTTGAGGCAAACAACAATGAAAAATTCAGCTGTTTTACAGCCGCAGGTTGTGGTTCTGTGTCTCAACATGTCTGAAGTGGGATGAGTCCACCTGAACACCATTACTTTTGCTTGATAGGTTTTAGTCGAAATCATCAATGAAGAAAATTGGGTTTAGACACTGGATTTTTAATTGTTTTCTTCATTTGAACCACATCAACAACAGGGAAATGATGCAGTATTTGATTTAAAAAAGAAAAGAATGGAAAAAAGGAATTCTACCTTTTGAGGCTTAGCCTATTGCTAATCATTGTCTCTGCTCCTGCTGCTTCCTAAATAATCAAAAACTATTCTTAGGTTTATTTTAGGAGTAGTTTTATTGATTTGCAACACCCAGGTCCCTTGTTACGTAACACAAAGCAGTAATATTCCTGCCCATAGAGGACCTGTGCACCACAGGCCATACCTTTCTATAGGTCTAGATACAAAGTTAGCAAATGTAATAAAAATATAAAATAAGTCTGCATGTAAAGTTGTAAAGAAGGACCCACCCCAGCTATTCTAAAAACAGACCAAATACGCAGAATTCCTAATATCTAATAAATAGCCAAAAAATATTATTTAAAGATTTTATTAAATGCTATTTTAGGTTGGCATTGCTACAACACAGGAGATTATTTATAAAATCTCTCATTGCGTTTTCGTTCCTGCAGTATAACACCTACAGGCTATACTCCTGCACGGACTGTGCCCAGACATTGAACAGGCAGGTTATAAATCCGTACACTTTCGAATCGCTTTATTGCAATGCTGCTGTTATCTTTAGCACAGACACTTGCAATATGTCAAGTTGTTATTTAGCTCGTGTCACATAGCCTGAAGGGTGGAGGATTCGTCTCTATTCAAAGGCAACTCCATCCAGCCTGCGCGAGCTCTGCTTTACTCCGCATCAGATCAGATGAACTCCTCAGTAGGTGCATTTCACCCAACTCTGATCCTAGCCTTATTCCTGTGCTCTCTTTATTCGTCCTCTAGAGAAATCACCCCTCAATGTCCTGCAGGAAACCGCTCCATCTGTCTCCTCCACGTCATCTCGGTTCAGCTCAGTTTGGCTGTATTAGTCCTTATGGAGACGATGGATTTGAGGGCAAACCAGGCTCTGCAAGCAGCAGTCAGCCAACAGGCACTGAGAATAGAGAGAGATAAGATGAGAAAGAAGATGGATGAATTGTGTTGTTGTGTAGAGCATGGCTGTCAAAACCACACCCTGTAGGCTAAACGTTGTGCTGTCCCTGAGGGAGATGCTCGGACGGTGGGAGAATATGAGGGATGTGTATGACCTATTGCTTGATCAGTCTTCCAGCAAGCATTGTAATTTCAGCAATATGTCTTTTATCTAACAAATCGAAACTCTAAAGCACACAAACTATATATTTATACCCCAATCTTTACAGCTATTGCATTCCTGCAGCCCTGGATCTGTGCATTGCTGTCACTTAAAGGAGGTTTGGGCCCAGTCTGATCCGAACCTATTAATACTGTCATGACTCTGCATGCTTTTCTAACAATTTACCAAGATGCCATGAAGCTGCTACAGAAGGTCTGACTCTTTTCTTCACTGCTATCACATCAATTGACCCATTTAGCATCACTGAAATGCAGATATTTACCAGCTAAAATCAACTTTAATAAAAAATCTTTCTTTAAATCAAACACACTATTACCTCCACTAAATTACCATAGCATGGTTAGCTAGCAAATGCAAAATGAAAGAATACATCGATACAGCATTTTCTTTTTTTTCTATTGAATACTCACATCTGAGTAATTGCCAAAGCACAGAATACATAGATGGATATACTGTAAATACTAATGAATGCACTTTTGCCTACCCTCAAAAATTATCAGCAAATGCTATTGTGTTATTGCTCTCGTGTTACATCTGGAGGCGCCACTAAATGGCATATCTGGTCCTTTTCAGAGTGGAACAATGTAAATGTCAGATGCTGGTGCTGAATTGTCTGAACAGTTTTGCTATTCATATGTGACTTGAAAACTGAGTGTAGTGTTTTAGGGACCTGGTATGACAGAAGAGAGGTGGTGCATGAAATCTTCTTCATATCCTTTGATTTGGTGAACTAAATTATATCTTTGAGATAAAGCTAATTAGGGCATCCGTCTGTTGCTATCTCTCCATCACAGTACTATAACATTACACCGCCTTTCTCCTTAACGATCTTATCAGTACGTACCGCTGTAGTAAGGTGCTTTGAGTAGGCCTACTGGAGCATTGGAAAAATTGGTGCCTCCTTGTGTACTGCATAAGCTTTAAGTCTCAGCCCAATCGTGTGAACAAGTAAAACATTGTCCTGACTGTAATAAATAACATCTCTGTATAATTTTAGTAGGAGGTACTTATGTTGGTTCACATAGTTCTTCCCTCACTGCTGCATTTTTACATTTAGCTGTAAAAAGTAATGCTCGTCTTTTTAAAAACCTCACAGATTATGGGAATAAGGCAAAACTTTCAATCCCATATCCTAAATCTATGGACAAAGATTGTAGCTTTCTTTTATGCAAAAAAGTAGAGAGAGATGCATTGTCTATTTTTGTAAATGTCAATAATTCACTTACATCGAGCCACCAAACAGAGATTGATGATGATCTTTTAAAGCAAATTATCCAGATTCCATAGCAGCCAATGCTCTCTTTGCTTTTGTTAAAATAATAGAAGGTCAAGATTCCTGTCAGTCACAGCCAGCTGAATCAGCCTTGAGACCAAACTACTAATGACCTATCCGTTTTTCAATGCAAGCTCTTGTAAATCGTAACCCTTGATTACTGTTGAAACCATGTTTCAGATAATACTAAGATGCAACCATGAGAGTAATAGCTTGTTATTTTTTAAGTTATGTAAAGGAAACTGTATTTAAAGGTAACATATATGGGGAAAAAAAAGCTCCTGTATTTTAAAAGTATTCTATAGCAATTGGAGGTCGGTTGCCATGTCAACTGAGATGAAGTGGTTGTTATCCTGCTGGTAGTATTTTAAAGTAGACTGCATTGTGAGTTTTTCATTGTATATTACAATTAGGAATATTTTCAACAATGCTTTTCCAGGGTGAGATTTTCAGGCTCTGCAATACATCAATATAAGTCTGCATGCTGTTGTTCTTTTGTCTGAAATACCAAAGCAGCAGAATGCAATCACAAATGTGGAGTTGCTCTGAAGTCTCCTGCATGAGAAATCCCTCTTTCTTGTTTAATGGGGAGCAGCCGGTCTGGCCCACACTTTCTATTAGTCTAGACTGATGAAAGTGGGGAGGGCTTGTACTCTCTCTCTCTCTCTCTCTCTCTCTCTGCTCTCTCTCTCTCTCTCTCTCTCTCTCTCTCTCTCTCTCTCTCTCTGTGTGTGTGTCTCTGTCTCTCTTTCTCTATCTCTCTCTCTCTGTCTCTCTCTCTCTCTCTCTCTCTCTCTCTCTCTCTCTGTCTGTCTCTCTCTCTCTCTCTCTCTCTCTCTCTGTGTGTGTGTGTGTCTCTGTCTCTCTTTCTCTATTTCTCTCTCTCTGTCTCTCTCTCTCTCTCTCTCTCCTCTCTCTCTCTCTCTCTCTCTCTTTCTCGACTCTTTGCCTACCTGTGTCAGAGGGAGGACAAGGACTAATAGACGTGGTGTCTAGAACTGCAGCCTTCAGGTTACAGACAGCTCAGAAGCTTCTTTATGGTGACAGACTCTGCTGGCTCCCCCTGGCTCATCTCCTGCTGCAGAAGGTTGGTGGGCTTGGGCTGAACAAACACCTGTTCCTGTTGAAACGGAAGGTGTTAGATCTGTCAAGGATTAGTCCGTTCTACTCGTCAGTGCTGGACACTTTTAAACTGCTGACGGTTTCCCCGGAGCGCCTGACACGGGACCAGGGACATGGTTGCTACAAGAACCCTTGTTTGACAATGACTTCTTCTCTCAAGCTGGCATTTTAACTTCGTCTGCGTTGAATTGAAGTTCAGTGATGCTGGGATTGTAAAGTTTGGTCACTTACTGAACATCCGGCTAGAACCCTTGGTGAGTGGGTGGATGTGAGGAGTGGGTGGATGTGAGGTCCACCCAGAGTGATGGAGAGAGTGGTGGAGGGCGGTACGGAGGTCCTTGTTTGTGTCGCAGAGAGCCTTCGTTGAGGACTTGTACTCTATCTGACCAATGGGACGATGACAGTGAGTACGTTTTTCCATCTCTGGAGGTTAAAGCAGCTGGTGAGGGTTGGCAGGAAGAGAGTGGATCATTGCTGAACCAGAACACTCCAGTGTTGGGCTCCTTCCAGTCTTGTGGAAGAAACAGATCTATCAAACTTGTGT